GCAAGATACTTGGCACAACTGGTCAGGAGCTCATGCTGCTCCCATGAAGGGCGAAACCAGTTAGCACGTATATGAGGGGGAAAAGTTGGTCCCAAGGTAAACTAAGAAAAATAATGGGCCTTGGGACGCCGCACGGGTACTTTGTATTGCGCCAAGCCTGTGACATAGGTTTCGGGAGAATGGTTCAATGTAGATTTATTGATAAAGATGAAAATGGAGAGAGTGTATGATTTTTTTGCTTGATTGGGGGGAGTGAGATGGGGTGTTATTTAAAAATAGAAAAACATGGGGGTTTGTAACACCACGCGCCATTGGATGGGATATAAAGAGATCCAACCGCTCAAAGGGAAGGAGTCAAATAAGAATGACAAAATCCTGAAGTCAAAATAACGAACCAATTTTAAATTGATATACTTTAGTGAAAGTTATAAATGTATACTTTTCTGAAATTATTTTAAACAAACATTTTTATCTTAGTTCCATATCATGAATCATTTCTCATAAAAATATATTAGTGGTCAAAGATTTGCACAGTTGAATAAAAAAGTAAACTGTGGAATTTCCCAGTGGGACAGTGGGGGTAAAAAAATTTTATTTAAAAAACCGACTTTAAAAGGGCCATGTGCAATCACCAATGTTTCTTGACGGTCAAAATTAAATATGGATCAGTTAGGCGACATTTTGTCACGTACTCGACAATTTGCAGTACAATGCAAGTGCAAAAGGACAGCATAATAGAGGGACAGAGTTTAAGGGGCCATGTGCAATCACCAATGTTTCTTATAATCATGACCGTTGGCATTCAGCATGGATTAAGTAGGTGACCTTTTGTCATGTGGACAATTTTGAGTACTATGCAAGTGCAAAGAGACGGCATAATAGAGGGACAGAGTAACTTGTGCAATAAGAATAGTGTAGCATAATAACTATCTGAAAAATGATGCATACCAAGTGAGGTGTCTTGGATCAAAGGTTCCATAAACTACATCATAGTGTCCATCCAATGAATCAACCAACTCAAGGTCACCTGTCAATGCATCCCACCTTCACACAAATACTACATAAATTGCAAGGTGACAATGGAAGATATTCCTAGAAAACAATTAAAATTACATACTCATATCGTTGGCGTCGATCAAGACTTAACACCACCTCAAAGACAGTGTCTGCACTTGCTTCAACAACACAAACTGCCTTGACAAGAACACCCTTAGCACTCTGAAAATTTTAAATAATGAAGAGAGCAGTGTTAATGATGCAAATAAGAAATGACAGAGAACATGCCTTACTAAAATTCATATGCTACCATGCAATTACTGACCATAAATTTCTACTCACTCAAAGATGGGAAGAACTTATATGAGCAGTCTTTTATATAAATTTGTCTAATCAAAATAATTAGCAATTATTAGCTTCAAGAAAATGAAAGGTAAAAGTAATTAGCACTTAGCAACTTATCACAAGGCATACTCCCTTTGTCCTCCAATGAAATTTACACTTTCTTTGTCTCCAAAAATGAGCTTTACACTTCTCTCATTTGTTAAGGAAAGGAATATGCGCTCACAACATTTCTCTTGCACCTAAACAAATTGCAACCACACTCACTTTTTTACACTTCTCTTAAACTCCTCAAAGTAAAAGTGTCATTTTGTTTGAATTTGTGTGGGGACAGAGAAAGTATAAGAATATAAGTATGGATCATGGATATACAACAACAACAACAACCCAGTTAAATCCCACAAGAGTAGGGTCTGGGGAGGGTGTGTGTACGCAGACCTTACCCCTACTCAAAAGTAGAGAGGCTGTTTCCAAAGAGACCCCCGGCTCAACGTTGAAAGTCGCATTGCTTGACTAACTGCTACTTCATTAATTAAAGAAGCACAGACAGTTTAGAGATCCATTTTGATCATGGATATGTTAAACACTAATATCATCCAGAGCTAGATCAATTCTATGAAAGCCGGTAGGAAACTACCTCCAACACTGTACATCTGTAGTTGTGCCAAGATCCTCTGAAATTGGATGTTTGCTTCAAAAAATCCAATTCCTTTTGGGAGGTTATTGATGAAGGGCGATTGGAACTGATTGCTAAAATGAAGAGCAAACACCATGAGAATGAGTCGTTAACTCTAGACTAATATGAGGAATTCTTTGTCATGCACAAAGACTTGTTTGCAGCTCCGATTTGCGCTTTGTCATGCACAAAGACTTGTTTGCAGCTACGCTTGAAAGAAAGTTTAATTGAGGGTGCCTGAATCACAAGCGCGATGGCATACCCACTGGGTTTGTTGTTGTTGTTGAAGAAGTTTATTATCATTTGGGTCAGAAGACACTTTTGTTCATTAGTTGGATCTCAATGAGAATATTCAAGTATACACACAATGACACAGTTATAATCATGGTATAATCCTTGATAGTCTGGATTTATCCTCCCCAGTCCCATTTGGTTTGCGATGATAACATTATGCTTTTCTTTACTTGAGCAGACATAGGTAAGCCAATTCAAATTGGCAGTCTAGCTTCATCAAAATATAGAATGCATTTAGTTAAATTTGTATTGAAGTCGATATTACTTGGCCTAATTTGAATCATTTGATTGAATTAGATTGGGTATGGGAACTACTTGGTTATGCAAAAGGCTATATATAACCAAGTTCTGGGGTATTGCTCCATCTGTAAGCATCTAAGGCATTGAGTGGATCAGTAAAGGTGTATATCTATTCATGATTCTGGAAAGAGTGGAGACAGGGAATCTGAGTTTCAAGGGGGCTAATGTAGTTTAATGATCAGAAAAGCCATGAAACTAATGTGCTCCCTTCGAACAATGAGGTTGAATGACTTGAATCTATTTTCTCAGCAGATGCTTTGAAAAGGTTGGAAAATTCTAGTGGGGAAAAATATGTGCTTATCTCTACAAACTCCCAGAGCATCTCAGAAGAGCTGGATGGGGGAAGCAGCAGAAAAGAAATGGCTGATCAGATTAAGGGAGCAGACCACTAAAATCGAAGGAAAGAATTCTGGAGCCAAATCTTAACTTTCAAAGTCTCATGCTAAGGATAACTCATATAGATAAGTTCAAGACTTCAAGCTTGATGGAGTAGTGTTATTGTTAGGAAAAATATTCCATTCCACCTGCTGCAATGTTGGAAACCATAGTATAATCATATCATAGAATAGCCTCAAGAAGTTGCCAATTGACATAGGCTATCTGAATGTTAAATTAGTTATGGTGTACATTCTGTCTTGTCTATGCCTCTATGGATATTTCTTCATCTAATAAATGTGATCAACGTTCCGCGAAAAAATTAAAAAATGCATACTGTTTGAAAAGAACAAACAAGATATGAGGACAGAAACCCCCACAACACCAGCTAATGTGTTCAAAAGACATAAGCGCCTTCTATGAGAAAATATCTAAAAATATGCATGGGGAAAGGCAGAACATAAAATATATGAGATCGAATTATGCCGGAGCTAGCCCTAGTATTCTTCCTTGACTGGCAATTTGGCAAGTAAAGCATTGCCCTGCTAGTGTTTCTGGCCTGCTAATGTGTTGATTAAAATTAATTAATATTTTCAGTTTGGCTCTTGGCAGAGGCCTATCTCCCAAGTTCGGTTTAGAGTCTCTAACTCCTTATAGTACAAGTGTACAACTATCTTTTTTGTATTCTGTATTTTAAAAAATTTATTGATTTCAAATGATGATAGATACCTTTGCTTCAGCCACATCTTCGAATATTCGAACACCTACACTACAAAAAGGCGAAAAGAAAGTTAAAAATAAACAAAGAGAATATCAAAGGAAATTCATAATCTACTAGACACAGGCAAGTTGGAGAATCTCAATTTTGATAAACTGTATTCAAACCACCAGGTCCACCAAATTATCAAAAGTCAGGCTTTTACACTTGGCCCTAATGCAACATATTGCCAGCCCCAGTGCTTCAATATTATATTAGCATTCTCTCAAAGGTCGTGAAGTTATAGTGCGTTGTAGATTAAATGCTGTAGAACAAATTATGAGAAAGTTTTCCTGAAAAGTCAAATGGTTGGGTGTGCATATAAAGTCCCAGCATAAACTAATGCCCATAGTTTTGGGATGAGGGTCTTCTGCTCCAGTAATTTCATTAATAGTTAAAGTCTAAGGTTCAACCTAAAAAATAAAGTACCAGCATTCGTATGAAAATGTGGTGAAGGAAACATAAACAAGATATAAAACAGCTAAATTCCCAATGTAAAGCAGGTACAAATTATAGAATAATCATACCATTAATTGTCCGGACGCATTTCCATTCATGTGGTTCTATTGCATCAGCTCCATCTGTGTCATAGTACAATTCTGTTGCACCAAGATTTGAAGCTTGGCGCAGAAGTTTCTCTGGACCTATGTATACAAGAACATTTATAATATATTACAATTAGTTTATTACAGGAAGTACCTGCTCATCTATGGAACAAGTAAAGCCGAAACACACATATAGTGCGCAAATGCAAACATGATAGGATAGGGTTTCATGGAGAGATTGTGTGTGCGTGTGGCTATCCTAAGATATTAACCATTCCACAGCATTCCACTACAAAATAAATAAGATTTCCTCAGGCACAAAAAGACATCAAAGTACATCAAATTGTCAACCTTGTCCTATTTTTATTAGCCTTTTCAAGCCATGTGCATAGCGCCGCACTCTAGGTCGATGTCCTTCAAGGTTAATCCTTCAACAAAAGATAGTAACTTTAGGTGGCAGAAATATCACATGTATACCGGTATAAGTAGACTCGAAAGAGGCAATCAATTAATGTTGTGATCAGGATAATTCAATATGCCAATTTATTGCTAGAATAGTCTATATAATTCATAAAGGTGTAGAACAGTTGCTTAAACTCAACTTAAAAGTCCTTAAGTATTGGGAGTTGCTTTTTTATTATGTCTGTGAATTCTGCATCATGATTTTGGGATCCTATTAATAGTAAAATTCCTAGCTCATATGTCCCTTATTTTGCATAAATAAACATCGCTCACTGTTGCAATCTTCATGTAATCAAGTTACATTCCATCAAACTTGAATACACAACATAGGTGATAATAGTTATCTTATCCTAGTTGATACTCTTTATCGGTTCCATCTCACCAGAAAGTGGTGACTCTTTCTTTTGCTTTCTAACATAAACAATCCTTTTTTATTGGAAGGTTTATTTAAAAAAGGAATGTGAAGTATGTTTACAGAGCACAGTGACACATGACATAGTGGAGATTCTGGAGAAAAACATTTATGTGTGTGGAACTATCTATACTGCCATTGTTCAGGAATCCTTATTGAGCCATTACGTTTTACTTCTATAATACTCGTATGAGGAATTGAGGAAAACAAAAGCTATTTGGAATAAGCAATGAAAGTTTATGTTTTAACAGAATGCTTGTGAGCTAAATACAAATATAGATCATTTTTCCTCATAAGAGACAACGTAGCCATACTCGGTCTCCAAGTTTAGCTTAGTCCTTGCACTGCCACCTTTTGTCAACTCATATTCTGCCTGCAACAAAAAGATTGAATATGTTAGAGTGTCATCCCACATCGGAAGTCCAAAAGTAAAATAATCAATATATAAGCTCTAGAGTTGAACTAACTAATCGGTTGGATTTAATCTTTTAATGTGGTTCAGCCAAGTGTCTTATTACCCAATCCAGTTGTCCATACCTCATCCTAAATTCTATCATGGTATCAGAGCAGGTTTTGGCCCACCTTGTTTGTCAAGGTGTCCATCTAGACGTTCATTCCTAGCAGCCCGTAAATCTTTAGCCCAGTTGTCCGTATGGAGTATGTACCCAACGGCCTGTAGCCCGTTTAACACGATTGCTCGTCTGGAAGTCCATACCTAGCGGCCCGTGGTCCTTTAGGTGTTGGCACTCAAAAAAATCAAGGGAATGGGAGTTTATTTGCAAGTGGTCAACCGGTTAGATTCAAAATGGCCCGGTTGTCCACTTGAGGGGGAGTGTTAGAGTGTCATCCCACATCGGAAGTCCAAAAGTAAAATAATCAGTATATAAGCTCTAGAGTTGAACTAACTAATCGATTGGATTCAATCTTTTAATGTAGTTCAGCCCAAGTGTCTTATTACCCAATCCAGTTGTCCATACCTCATCCTAAATTCTAAAAGTACCAAAAATGGTAACACTACTTTGGCAGATATCTGTCATTGACCAGTGGCATTTCGACACATGAAAATTATGCTTTACACATGAAAATTATGCTTTAAGTTGAAAGTGTAGACTGTGTAGTACTATGGAACTAATGATTGCATCAAAATCTAACTTATGTTGGTAATTTTCCTTACCAGGACAAGATATAAGAGGGGAATACAAAAAAATGTAATATAGCATACATCTTTGCTCAATGTTTTTTTATACCTGTTGTTTTGCCTGATCAAATGCATTCATCCATTGTTTGGCTTCTCCGGCTGTAGGACAAGCAATCTGGTAAAATATAAATAAGTTTTACATTTACGAGAATTTTCCATTCTTCAACTAATGGAGAAATGAACACTATTCCATATGGACTAAATAGAGATTTTATGTGATACGAGCTTCTCCCTTGGCTTGAGTGGCAGGAAGACCACTCCCCAAGATATTGTGGGATGCTCACCCAAGTTTGGTTTCCAACAGAGGCACTGGCTCAATGTGCGTAATTAGGTTGAGAAAGTATGGCCAGAAACTACAATTTTAATAGAGTTAATGGCACTAAAAGAATATTTTGATGTCATACAATGATTGGATTTAACATCAAATCCCATCCAAATCACCAACCAAAGTTGAAAACTTTCTATCACAAGGAAAATCTGTGCCGCAAAAAATTGTAAAGAATGGCAGTCGATAGCAGTTTGAGAAAAGCTAAAGTCACCATAACTCTCACCCCACTTTTCACCTCAACCTTCTCACAGAACAGTAACGGAGTAACGGATGTATGTGGATGTCTGTGAGAAGGTGGGGTGAGATGTGGGGTGCCCCTAAGCATGGTCCGTAGCAGTTTATGGTGGCTTATGTAATAAGTTTGCTCGTCCATCATTAGTAACAATGCACCACTCTAATCATTAGATCATATAAATCAATCTAGTGCACTTTGGCCTCACATTTTACCAAAGTGGGGATAGGACCCGGTGAATCTAGTTTATACAAGCTTCATATAAGATAATGGATGGAAAATGAATCAAATACTTACTTCTCCCTTTTTGGTTTCATCCAACCGATTGTAAAATCTCAGAACATAAACATCCTAAAAACCAAAAAGAAGACACTACACTATATCAGATTTCATCATCTCAATGAAGACTATATTTATAAAATATAAAATAAACTTAAATCAACAAGTTCAAGAGGAAAGATGCAACTAAGTGAAAATTAAAGGAAAAAACAGTTGTGATATAATCATCCAATGGAAAAGTTAATGAAGTTTGTGGAAACTTTATACTTGTATAAGAGGTAATTGAGTTCCATTAAGAATGGAATTCAACGATTCTATGTGGAATGAATCATTAAATTATAGAGGACTGGCAACATGAGCTGCTGTCACCGTGAAGTGGAAACTGTATACCATGATCATCCATAGGAGTTACCCCCCCCCCCCCAAATGTGAATTCTGTGAAAATTGTGGAAAAGCTAGGACTACCGACTTTAGACCATCCTAGTCCCTACAATTTGAAGTGGCTTCAAGATGGTACTGATTTGAAGGTAACAAAGCATTGGGGTTATAGATTTATCTCTTTCTATAAGTTCTGTTCCTAAGGGCATGGGACTTTCAAAACTCATTATTAATATTGGATAGTTTTTCCTTTAAGAGATTGTGGTGTTGCTTCAACCCGGGGTCTCGTCATGTTCTCGGTGGCTTGCCTTTAGAGAATCAACCAGTTTCCAGTAGTACTCTTCTATGTATTCCCCCTATTTTTGTCATTCCATTCATCGTCTCTAATTTACTGTCTGATGTTTCCGCATATGCATCTCAACAATCAGAGTGAATTGAATTCCATTGATTTTCATTAAATACTAATCCTACTATTGAATTCCAATATCAAGAATAATTTCAATTACTGTGGGAATTTAACTCGTGGGGTTTCCAAACAGCCTGCTAAAAGAAACTCAGATGAATGAAGCAAAGTTTTAAGGATATTGAAGCAAAATGCTTACCCCATGATTAACTCGTCGACGACCCAAGTCCTCAATCATAAGTGTGGGTCCAACAGCACCCCTTCTAATGGGTTTCTGCAGTAAAATAGAGATATTACTTGGTGGTGAAATTGTGTGAAATGGCAAGCATAACCAAAATATCAGGTCTACATCATTCAACTGGTTTAGCCCTCCGTATAGCTTCAGTTAATAGCCTTGATTATATCCTTCGAGGCAATAGCCCTAAAGATTCCTAACACTTCCTAGTGAACTTGTAGACAGGGAACATGAAGAATTATTTGCTGGATTATTAACAGAAACAAAAACAGACAGCTGAAAAACTACCAACGGAGTAAAAAAAAATCTGGTTTCAAATTAAGTGGAAAAAATGAGCTCAAATTACAACTAGGGGGAAAGTGAAGGGAGAAAACGAGTGTGGTACTAATTAATACTTACAATGCCGGGATTCTCATGGGGGTCGCGCTTGTACATTTCGACGTACATGCCGCGGATGAAGAGGTAGCGGAGATGGCAATACTCATGGCCAATTGAGTTGACTCCGAGATGATACACCCAGCCAGAGTACTCGAAAGAGCCAACGCCGCCGGCGAATCTGTCCGATCCACCGCTCTCGGAACTGCCGCTCTCGGAAGAGCCGCCCTCTCTCCCCGCCTTCTTCGTTGCCGGGACCGGACTAGCCATTGACCACGGAATCTGATGACAGGAGAGGGAGAGAGAGAGAGCCCCGGCCAAGGGAGTGTATATACGGAGCAGTATATACGCGCAATTTATTGGAACCAACCAGCTGTTGTTTGTAAACTCACCCAGAGACCAGAAATGACGAGTGGCCGTCATGTCATTTTAATGCCGTACTCCTGCCCCGTTGGGACTTTGAATTAGTGGGATACCTTTGTTTCAAGACCAAAAAAAACGTGTAGATAAGGCTTCCTTTCGAATATATGAAATTAAAAATATAGAATTGGAGGGGGAGATTTTAATTTCAATTTTATTACGGAGTATTTGATAATATAAAAATGTGTGGATTTAAAATTGATAATGTAAAAATGAATATGAATTAAAAAATTTAATTTTAATTTTGTCAATTGTTTATACCAAACGGAACCAAAAAGAAAATAGGAAGGACGGGAATGAAAAAAATGATGTTTTGTCTTATTTAGTTGAACAGAAAATAATGCCGACTAGAAAGAAGAAAATTAAGGGTGGATTATGTTTTAAAAAGTTTTAATAGAGAGAAAAGAATAAAATGAATATTGTGCTCTTCTCAATAATAGATACCTACGGAGTATTAAATGATCTCTTCGTCTCTAAAGAATTTTTTAGAGTTAATCTTTACATATTCTAAAAAATAAATAAATTATACGTTGGAAATTCATGAAAGACAGGGAGAAAGATAATGTGATACAACAAATTGCTTTTAGGCTTTTGTAAATCAATTTTTTTGGGACAACAAAAAAAAGAAAATATGAATCTTTTAGAAACGTAACACATATAGTATTTTTTTATATAAGAGCATAAAGCAATTTTGATTTACTCCCTCCGTCCCTATTTTAATTAAAGTTTTATTTTCTCTCTTCTCGGTAACTTTTGTTTGTGTGTTTTATCGATTATTTGACAAAATAAAATAGAAATATTTGCAATAAATAGCACTACGGCTGTTCATCGGTCTAAGACCGGACCGACCTGGACTGGACCGAAGACCGAAATGAGTAAATTCAAGGACCAAAGACCGGACCTAAATCTACTCGGGTTTGGACCGAACCGGGCCGGACCGGACCGGACCGAAATATTTAGGACCGAACCGGTCCGGACAAAAAAAATACATATTTTTTTAATTATTTTGATCAATTAAATATATTTTAGACTTTTTACTTTGTACCTTTCAAATAGAAAATGAATAAAAAAATATGCAACCTTAAAATAGATACACAATATGAACTACTTTAATGTAGAACCATAAAAACAAATATGAAACGTTTTTTTAGATTTTTTTTTAAAATTACTTAATAAAAAACCTTTTTAATTAAATAAATTAAAATATCTATTAAAATAAAGCATTAAAGTGTAATACGGAACTTAAAAAGTAGAGTTTAGTATTTAGGTCCAGTAGGGTCAATCGGTCAGGACCTAAATCATTTCGGGTTTGGACCGGAACGGACCGAAACCTGAATGCCTAAATTTTCTGGACCGAAGACCGACCCGAAATCCATTCGGTCCGGGTTCGGTCTGGACCTAACGGTCCGGTTCGATCGGTTTTTTCAGTCCGGACCTAAATGTGAACAGTCCTAAACAGTACTAAAACTTAAGTCATTTCTCTAAATAGTACTTAGATTGTTTTCTTCCCTAAATAACACTTAATAATGTTCATAATGACCAGTGATGGCAAACATTTACTTGAATAATGACTAAAAGTGCTACATTGGAAAAAAATATATATGTAGTGCTATTTAGGGAAAGTCATTATGTTTTAGTGCTATTTACGTAAATTTCTCAATAAAATATTCTTGTCACCTCTTGCTATGTAGAACTTTTGATGTATATTTTAACAAATAATTTTTATATATTATTGATATACCAATTTCTAAATAAACTGATTTCAAAAATCATGAGATTTTACCTCGTAATTCTCATTTTGTAATCAAAATATGAACAGAACGAGTATTATTTTTTCTTTCATATCAAACAAGGAAAATAACTGACATTTTCATTTATTTCATTTTTTATTCATCGAAACAACACATTTTCTTTCCTATTTTTCTCTTCATTTTCTTACTCATCATTTTATGTTTTCTTATTTTTTTCTCTCAAAAAAATTACTCCCTCCGTTCTATAATGATCTTCCCAGTTCGCAAAACGAAGAAAAATCTCAAGTTTTTTCAATCTATTTTATTTAAATATTGGTATAGAAATAAAAAATAAAACATACATATTTAAAAACTACACCAAAAGTTCAACAAAAAAATTGGTGACAAGAATATTTTATTTTATCATATAGGCCATGAAAAAAAATAAATAAATATAAATTCCCGTGAAGTTGGAATAGTGCTCTGAGAAGATCATTATAGGACGGAGGGAGTAGAAGAATAAAATGAAGATAAAAGTAGACCAAAGAGAAAATGTGTCGTTTTGGATCAATCAACAATGAAGAAAAAGGAAATGTCAAAAAAATTCCTTCTTTTTTTAAAGTAATTCTTTATTTGGTTAAGAAGAAAAGTAAGAGGAAAAAAAAGTTATATATATACGCGCGCGCACACACACATACATTAACACCCCAACCGACGTAATTCAAATACATGAGTGAGCAAACCGAGTTGTTACTGAATTATTATCCAAACGCATAATACTTTCCAAACAATTAAAATAAAAAATATTATCTCAAACTCCAACGGAGTAAAACCAAACAGTGCGAAGGTTAGTAATTAATTCAAAACACAACTTGAAAATCATGTCCGAAAACATAATAAGTTATTTGGAAATAAATAGCAGTTCGCGATCTATCATCAATCATCGTATCGCACATCACTTCATCCTCGTTGTCTTCTAAGATGGGCTTTAGATTTATTTTGTTCCTAATTACTTGCATGTTGCAAACAAAATACACTACCCGCTCACGATGAAGCTAAGTGAAAAATATTTAACATTCGAGTACACACTTAGGCGAAACTACTTTTTATTACAATTACATGTTATCATGCAAGCAGCATGCAATACATAACCACAATTCAACATACTCCTTCCATGGCAATCGCCACATTATGTTCTTACCATCTACGTAGATTCATAACCTTTTGTAAAGAGATTCCCTAACACATGCTTCTAGCCTCATTCTAGATTACGGTCTCTTGTCACTCGACTAGGAGTACCTCTATGGATCCAAGCGTTGCGTTTTTACTCCGGTAGTCATTGACCTCAACAGGTACCACATGGTTCTAATATTTTACACTCATGCAACTATTGGTTCATGTCAATCCTAGAGTTCTTCTAGGTAAGCTAACATACTCATAAGTGTTGGATCAACAACTAATGCAGTGAATATAAATTCGCATGTTGGATCAACACATTCTTTATCATATAATATACAAGAGTTGGATCAACAATAACATCACCATCAACAAATAGCGATCTAGGATTGGATGTTGACACCCAACACTTATTGTTAGATAAAAGTGCAACTCTAAAGGGGTGAATAGAGTTGTTTGCTAGAATGTACGTTTATTGCGTGTGTGATAGCGGGATAAAAATTGTAGGAGAAACGTAAAGAGCAAGGGAAGAAGTACACCGTGATTTATACTGGTTCACCATCTTGTGGATAGTCCAGTCCTCCGAGAGACTCTCTCAAAGGTCCTACTAATCTTCAAGCTTCAACGGGTGCTTGAAAAACCGATACAACTTGAGAACTTAAATCACACAAGCCTCATCTTTGTACGACAAGACTTGAGTCACACAAGTCTTGGGGGGTGTATTCAATAAATAATTTGTAGGATTTTTTAGGATTTTAAAAGTCAGTGGGTATTCAATTAATATTTTAAAAAGTCATTTAAAATCTAAAGGTATTCAATAGAGACTTTAAAAGATCATGTAAAATCTTAGGGTATTCAATTTAGATTTTAAATTATGTGTTGAAATCTAATGGTATTAAATAATTTATAGATTTTGAAAGATTTTTATTATATGTAGATTTTGATGGATTTTGAGGTTATTTTTCTAAAGGAAAATTATTTCACAAATCTCTTGCAACATCCAAAGATTTTAATGGATTTGGCTATGCCTTTCGCATTGTGGGTACAATAATGGATTTGGCAAATTTACAATCTCTTTTTGAATTGCCACCCAAATCGACAAATATGTTTTAACTTGGATGTGGTAAAATGACAAATTGGATGCCTTGGATGATGCGACGTCGCAGCACCATCACATGAACGGAGATGCTGGCAGTGCTAAGGGAGGCGTGCCGGAAATGTTTCAGAAGCTTAAGACTCATCGGTGATGTGGTTAGTAGATCTATAAAAATGAAGAGGGGCAAAGAAGGGGGAGAAGAAGATAGATCTAACAGAGAAAGAAGGTGGAGATGAAGGAGAAAAGAGGGGGGGGGGGGAGAGGAGGAAGAAGAAGAACCAAATTTAAGAAAAAGAAGAATGAGTAGAGAAAAGAGAAATGTGCAGATCTGTTAAAGGAGAACAAGAAGAGGAGAAGAAGAAGAAAGAGGAGAAGAAATAAGAAGAAGATGAAACGGAGGAGAGAAGAGGAAAAATACGAAATGGGTGTTGGGCGGAGAAATCGAGAAGAGAAGGGAAAAGGAAAGAAGAAAGAATAAAGTGTAAATCCTACTAAAAAAAAGTGTAAATCACACAAAATCTTATAAAATTCTACTGAAAAATATATTAAAATCTATCTAACTCTGTATAAACTTAAAACAATATATTGATTTTATTTAATCCGTAAATTTTAAACAATCAATCAAAATCTTTGTAAATCTAAATTGAATACACCCCCTTAGCAACAACTCAAACAAGATTGAGTTTACACCACAAGAATGAAAACTCACACAAGTGAGCAAGAAGTTTTGAAATATGAAAGCTCTATCAATGATAATATCTTTAGCACTCAACAAAAAAATGTTTCTAACTCTCAAAAATAATATTTTGATCAAGAAGATTGAAGTAAGAGTTGAATGTTGAGTAATAAAAGAGTGAAGTGCAAGAGATGTATTTTTGAAGGAGGATGAGGGATTATATAGAATTTAAAAAAATAAATATGTTGGAGCCAAAAGAGAAGTTGTGAAATGCACCAGATACAAAAAATCGATTAAG